TCCCTCTTGCAGCCTGCAGCCTGGCGCCCGCGGCGCGGGAGGTGAAGGTGGCCTGTTCGGAGGATGTGGACTTGCCCTGCACTGCCCACTGGGACCCGCAGGTCCCCTACGCGGTCTCCTGGGCCAAGGTAAGCGCGGCGAGGCCGGCGGGTGAGGTTTTGGTGGTTTCATTGGAGGCAGGGGAACCGCCTTCCTTGGGCTGGCGACCCTCTGTGGTTGGGAGGCGGAGGCGTCTCCCGTAGCTGAACGCGGTCCCCGGGTCTCCCCACACGCCTCTTCCATCCCCGCCACGAGCCCATCCGCATCCAGGTGCCGGCTGACTTAGATTTCATTCCCGCGGGGACCTCATTCCTCTCCTTGCCTCTAAAGGTGGCCTGAGATGAATGAGCCAAATAAGACGTTTTGGAAGAGCAGAGAACCTCTTATTGGGATAAATTCCGGAGGCCACCTGTGGTTGTGGCCAGCGGGCCAGGGAGAAAGCAGCTAGGGTGGATTTGACATTGGACGCGAGGAGTGTCCCCGGCTTTCTGATTTCTGGTATTTTGTGACGGGGATGCTCATACATTTGGGGAAGGGAGAGTGGGCAGTTTGAGAAGAAGGAGTGAGACAAGTGTTTCTTAGGTGGTAGTTATCTATCAACCAACCTTTTTCTGGTGCACCCTTGGCGTCCTCCCCTGTCCTCCCCTGCCCCTGGCTGCTCCTCCCTCGGGCCGTCCTGAGAGGTCCAGCAAGGAGGGCGCCTGGGATGGTGCATGAGAGGGGTCCCTGCATGTAAGAGCAGTGTCACTGTCCCTACTTTCAGAGGACTGAGTAAGATTGAGGCTTTTTTTTAAGGTTTCCTGTCACCTGGAACCTGTTCAGATTCTAAGATTGCGATTTTGGTGGCATTGACAAAGCCGAGCAGCCACTGGTTTTTTTGTTCACTCCCTTTCATGAGGTTAGTGCCACAGTGGCACCTCCGGGTGGAGCCCAGTAAATGTGGTATCTCAGCCTTACTCTGTGGCTCCCACTGATTTGTCATCTCACCTGGCAGGAAATCTCTGTGTGTTTGTAGCTCTCGCCCGAATGCTGGGTTTTCTTCTGGCCACCATAAAAAATGCTGTAAGAACCCGCACAACTATCTGGCCGTTCAACAAGGCAGCACAGGAGCATTCTCTCTTTGTATGTGTCTGTATGTGTGTGTCTTCTTTCGCAACCAGATGGTCAGTACCGCTCCCAACCCACTCCAAGGACAGTGCGGCACCACTGCCTTTGTGTACCATGCATGGCACCCCAGTGTTCACCCTGTTAATTCTGAAGGCACTCAGTGAATTCAGGCTGGTGTTTTGTGATTATGCACAGTGGCAGTGGTCCTGGAGCCTGGGGGCACTGTGCTGTGTATGAAAGTAGATTTGTTATTATTGCTACTTCATTTCCACCTTATTCACTGTGGGATCAGAGAACACAGAAGTTCCAAAATTGTCCCCTTGTGAAAACAATAGTATTTAAACAAAAATATTGTAAGACCAATATTATTTGAGTACTCACCATCTACCAAGCTAGGAGCTTAATATCTACATGCATTAGCTGTTTCAAACCTTCCAGTGGACTTAGAGGTCAGTACTATGACTGTTTCTACATTACAGGCGAGGAAACTGAGCCTTAGGGAGTGAAATAATCTGTTCACTGTTACGCAGCTGGCTAAACGGGTGAGTTAGGAGTTGAACCAAGTAGTCTCACTCTACAGCTTCAGTTCTTAGAGGTCTATCTTGTTATTTCTGTTTTCTGCCTTAATTACTTGAAGTAAAGAAAATGAAAGTGTCTTTGGGCTAGCCAGGCACGGACTTCATTATCTAAAAGAGAGGGAAAAACATGAAACCATGATCCCTTCCAGAGAGTAATTAAAAAAAAAAGGAAAATAATATTAATATCCCCAGGGGAGTAATTAAAAAGTACTTATGAAAGGAATAGATGAAATTTCAGACTGTAAAGTTCAAACAGTTGTCAAGTTAAATCTTCTTGCACAAGGTCGTTTGGAATGATGCAGTAAACCAGGGCAATTAACCTTTGGCGTTTCCTTGGCTGTCAGCTGATGATGTAACTGTATAGTGTATGTGCTTGTTTGTTGGACACAGTTCTTGCAATCTTTACCAAGAAGGTCTCTCCAAACTCTGTTAAGAAAAAAGACAGTGGGCTGTTGGGATTCTCTCTCTCTCTCTCTTCTTTTTTTTTTCTGTTGGTCCCTGGAATAGGGTCATTGAAAAATCATACCCTAGTTATTTTTTTAAGAAGGAAACGGCGATTGAGCAGTGCTGGACAGGAGAGCTGTGCAGTGCCAGTAAACTAATCAGATACCTTGAAAGTGATATGCTTTGTTTTTCAAGTCCTTCTTAGCAGATCTCAGCACATTCTGCAGATAATTGTCATTTTCCAGCCCAGTAACTATACTTTTGCATCAATCATCCTTGTAGAACAAAAATGGATAGAGTGTTCTGAAAGTAAGGCCAGTGTGAAACACTGAAATACCTCGTGTTACAGAAGATCAGGCATCTTGTCATCTTCCCTCACACCTTTCTTGTAAAATGTTGTGGTGAAGCGGAGAGGTGGCTGTTAAGTGGGGAGTTTAAGCCTGGTGACCACAGCCAGCCTGGCTGCAGCGTCACTAGGCTGGTTTGTAAAACCACTTTGCACGGTTGTGGGCTGCGTGCTGGACAAGTGAAGCAGAGAGTCCCTTGCAGTGTGCCATTTTCACTGTCTGCCAGATCGAATCGCATCCTTGCAGGCCTTCTGCATGTCACAATTACGGTCATAATGACTCACAATTTAAAAATCCATGTACCACTTAGTTCTCCAGCACTATGGAGCATCTCGCCACTGTCCAGTTGGCACTGATTACTCGTGATTAACAAAAGAACCCATGTAAACCATGTGTTTCTTATCATGTGCCTTTTGCCAAAAGACTCAAAGCAGACGGTGTCCAATTAGTGTTTGTAACACTAGGGTGAATCGGGAAGAAGCAGTGTCCATTGCATTCTCTCTGTTTTAAAGGTACAGTGAGAGGGGACCGGAGGGGGCTTACTCTAGACATGCACAGGAGGTCAAAGGCAGAACCAAGAGTGGGCAGAGATGGCCCAATTCCTGTTAGCCCTTCTTCTTTCCTGTGGACTAATGCCCTCCCAACCGGGGTCCAGGAATGGGGCCTCTGCTCATCCCTTCCTATTCGGGACCTTTTAAGGCAGAATGAATGATTGGGAAGAAATAGAAAAGTTAATGCACTATATCCATCAAATTTAGCTATTAAGACTGTGAATAGACTGTGGGTGTTGGGGGAGTATTTTGAGATATTTTGAAGCAAATAGACTTTGGTCCAGCCCTCTCCTTCCATTGGCTGTGACCTTGGGTTAGATTCTAGCCTAAGACGGTCCTAACACAGTCCTGTGTCTGCCAGGAGTGAGACCATCCATTGAAGGGCTGCACCTGAGCTTCACGCAGAGCATCACTGGGTTCACACTCTGTTTAACCCGGCTGCAGTAGGTTTGGAGGGAGAGGATGACACTGGGTGGATGGAGTGTTTGGATGTGGTTGAAGTTCACCACTGATAATAGTGAGTGGTTATTTACGAGGGAGACGTAGTACCATCTTGTACTGTGCTAAGAGCCCTTGCCACCTAGGTTGATGCATAACGAAAGAGGATATATACTGTCATCTCTGGGTGACACTGCGGGGGTGAGGACAGAGATGCGTCACAAGACAAGTCCCCTTTTAGATGATTTCCAAAGGAAGGGAGAAAGGGGAAGTAAGACTGTGATTTCAGAGAATAGAGCAGACTTGAACTTTATAATATTTAGAAGAACCACAGCTGTGGCAGGTCCTGGGCTGTCCCCGGGGATTAAGGGGACTGTTGGAGAGCAGGTTAGTGGCTTGCATGAAGCTACTTCAAAAGTCCCAGGGTAGTTGCCGCACAGATATTGCTTGTTGTTAATTCCTTGTGAGCTGACTTCCTTGTATGTTGCTAATCTCCTATTCAGCAGTCATAGTTTCTGTCTCTGCCGTCTTGTGTAATAATGAGCCACAGAGCAAAGGGTCACCGAGGAGAGCAGAGAGCCTTGGGAGGGGCTAGGGTTGACGAGTGGCCTGGGCAGGTGTCTTCTGTACAGCCACCAACCCTGATGGACCCATGAAGGAGGTGATGACTGCCCCTCACCTGATTCTAGAGTGCCGTCTGTTGTAAGATAGATTTAAGATGTTTGGGGAGAAAAAAGAAACATCTCTACATTAAATATAGAAGCACTGAAATACTGAAATGTGAAAACAATGTGCGTGTTAGCATCAAGGAAGAATCATACCATCCCCACTGGCACCTATACTACTGGACCTGGTTGAATAATTTTTAGGTCAGACTATGAAAGACATAAAGTTAGTTTTCAGATGTCTTTCATATTTGCCTTTACATCATTTTGTAGATATTTCTGTGTCCCAAATGTGGGCCAAGTCCCGAGCCTGGCAATGACCATCCCAAGAGCAACACAGAACTTTTGCCAGAGGACCACTGTGAGCAAAGATGGACACAGGAATCTACAGGCGCTTTGGGGAAGTGGTGGGTAACCAGTACTCTAGAAGGGAGAATTATACAGCCGAGGACCGAGAGGTGATGCTGGAAAACAGGCTGGGAACAGGTGGTGAAGGACCTTGAAAGCCCAACCGTAAGGGCTTGAACTTGATCCTTGGGGCAGCAAGGAGTCTTTGAAAGTTTTTCAGCAAAGAGGACAACATAATGAAAAATATGTCAGAAGGAAAGCATATTTCTTGTGGTGAAAAACAGAGCCTAATTCCTCCTAGAAGATGAGTCTCCGAGGGAGGCTTTAGGCTCCCACCAGGTAGAACTCATTCCAGGTTAACACAGTAAGACTGGAACACGTGCATGGCTTTTACCTCCCCCTCTCTCTTGGTCACTTGTTTTGTTGTCCACGCGGTCCTGAGCCGAAAGCGGCTGCCTCGGAGGGGGCTAGAGAAGTGGCTGAGATGAGAACGGTGGGTCATTGAGACTTCTGGACAATGACGAGACAGAGCAAAGTTGCTAAAATCTTTCAGCTTGGAAGAGGGTAGGGAGGAAAAAGGCCGCTGAGAGTTAAGTAGAAAAAACTGCAAC